ATTTATCTGCCCCCCGCCTCTCTGTTTGCATTTATAATTTGTTTGTGTATTGATTTACATGTTCCCTGGCCATCAGTCTTGCTCCGATTTCGCTGGATGAAGTGAATTGTTTATAAAAAGCCTGCATAAAAATTGCAGACCTATCCCCCCTTTTGTCTGCTATGCTCCAGTATTGACACATTTGAGTCCCGCGACTGATTGCTATATAATTCCGACTGTCGACTGTCGGCTATCCAACTGTCCAACTGTCCCCACCAATTGCAGTTTGGATGTGCGTGGCGTGGCGATTCGGTCGTCTCATTAGGAATGCAAATGTTAGTCCTTGTCCGCCCCTTAATGTGCTATTAAATTTTCAACCGATATGCCTGCCGATTGATGTAAATTCGAGGGGCTGGCTACTGACATTTTCGGTTATTGGGGATCATGTTTTTCCAGGCCCTCTGGACGGATATCAATCATTAACGAGGTGGAGTTGTTGTAGCTCGAAAGTCCCTTTAATTGCTAACCAACCACCAGTGTTGAGTGTTGACCCTTGGGAAATGCCATCGTGTCATCTTGGCCATCTAAGTATATTTCTTTACTTGACTTATCAGCGGCTTAAATCTTGAGGGTGCTCGGCGAGGCATGATGACGGTGATCGTCTTTTGGTTGCACTTTGGAAAATACGCTTTTCCTGTTCTTAATGTTGCGTGGGCATTTTCTTTATCAATGAATGAACATCAATGGCGTAGGCTTTTCCATTATCTTTCACTTTTGGGTTCGAGTCTTTTATTCTTAAAGTCAAATCAAGCGGTCACCGTTCACCATTTTGAGGTATTTCTAATATCTGGCCTAAATTGTAACCGACTTACTGTTCGTTCTATTCGCCCCTCTGCTTTCTGAGCATTAAAATTAGCTTAAATTTTAATTATAGCCAAGTGCCCATTAGGGCTCGCTGGCCCACTAATGAAGTTCAAATATTCTTGCCTTTTTTTGCTGCTTTTTGGGCCAAACTCCAGATCAAAACCTGAGCCAGAACATTTTATGCTAATGACAAATGCTTTTATCTTGGCCAGAACAAAGCGAGAGAGAAGGAAGATGAAAAACGGAAAATTATAAGCAGAAATTGTTGGCAACCTGCTGCTGTTGCTTTTCCAGGAGTTTTCCACCCCACCGCCATCAGGCTGACCCTAATCATTGTGCCGAACTGACCCGCCGCCAAGTTGGTGAAAAGCTGCAGCTCGGGGACCGTGAAAATTACACGTTTTTTTTTCTTTTGCCCCCTCACTCTGAGGTTACAAATATTACATGCCAGGTGGGTGGTTTTTGGGTGACTAAATTTATGCATTTTTTCTATGCGGCTTTAATTAAATTTCTCTTTTTCTTGTATGCCTTTTTTTATTTGGAATTTTTTTTTCCTGTGGCCGCTAATTTCCACGTTTAGGCGCGTCTAATGTTTCCCCTGCTGTGGCCGTGTTTCTTTATTCAAATGAGAAAATATGTTGGTTGGCCTGGGTTTTTGTCAGGTGACGGGAGTGAGAGCAAAGCCTAATTGGCTCAGAACCAGAGGTTTATTATATCAACATTTACTCTGGTATTTAGGTATGTCTCATTTCTGGCGCCAGCTGTTTGATTATGGAAATCGATTAGCCTAGACCATCTAAATGAACTGGAGCACACAGGACACGGATCAGAGAACATGTCGCGACCGAAAAACTTCATAAAGGAAAACTCCAAACACGCAGGTAGGGCCAAAAATGTAGGAAAAAGAAGGAAAGGAAAAGGGACCAGGACAAACAATAGAGAGATAACCCATAGATAGAGAGACAGTGGAAAATTAATGAGATTTTTCGTTTGTGCAGCTGATGAAGGCATTAGGGTGAAAGCAAGTGCAACGACTTCATTTCGCTCCACAGAATGTCGCAGTAGGGAACTTATGGTTCTTCCTCCCTTTCACGACTTTATGGTCAGCTGAGGCAATAAAGTGGGAATTAATTAATTGAATGCAACGCAATAAAACCCTCAGACTTGCCAGACAAGTCTATCTCATTTCAATCGAATGCTGATTGGAGAGTAAAAAAAAACCTCACACGTAGAAGATACACAGAAGAAAAGATGTTACAAAAAAAGTTGATAAAGATAATACCTTGATAACAATCTAATTGATCCATATTAAATTTAATGGAATTGGTTTCTCAGATAGAAGTGGTTTAAATTAAGATTAAATGGTATGATCTACGAGTATTTGATATCATCAGAATTTTAATATGCATTTCTTGCAAAATATGAAATATTATTTTTATATCAGATCTTGGAAAGGTGATAAACCATTTTGTCCTTTTTTTCTTATCAGAAGCTAGATATTATTTTATTTTATTTCTTAAATAATATTTTAATATCAGATCTTTCCGCTTTACTTATAGATCTGGTTTATTTCTGTGTATTATTAACTTCTCTCCCATTTACGTCACCGATCTGGTTTGACTTTGGGTTTAACCGCCCGCTGATCGGTGCTATATAGTATAGACATAGAGAGTAAGACACATCTGGGAGATCGATCGTAACGCTCTCTTCTCTTTCGGAAGCTGACTCATCCCGCTGAGCGGAGCGCAAGTCATAGAAACGCTGAAAGCCGACGTGCTAATTATAAACACAAGCCGCCAATAACGAAGAGTGAGATGGCAAAATGGCTAAAAAACACTTGGCAGATGTAAAAACCAAACCGGAGTCCGCTTTAAATATTGTTTTTCTGCCTTTTCGCTTATCAACTCGCGGTGGTGGACAAACGCCCTCGAAAAAAAACAAAAAACAAAGAAAAGCGAATACACAACAATGAATCTCAAATAAGTACGACTGTCTCATTGTCAGACAACAGTGCAGAAATATTTATAACAAACGTGTATGCTGGTATGACAATTCATTTTGGGCAACTTTTACCGCCTGCAGTTGGTTTTGGCCATAACAATAACGGAGCCACAATTACAGCTACTTTCTAACGTGGCCAAAAGACCAAAGACCCAAGCGGAGCATCTTGAACGTTTCCAGTTTTGCCGTTTTCTACTTCATTTTTTTCGTTCGTTTTTTTCGGGTTTTTGGCAGAAGTTAAGTAGACTGTTAAATGACTTCCGCAGTTTTACCTTCACAGACGGAGACTCACATTTTTTTGTTTGCCGCCATTGTTGTAGTTGCTTTGAAAGCTTCTTGCCTTTGATCTGGGCCAAAGCGGAAAAATCTTAACCCAAATCCAGACTACAATTACTCGGAAAAGCCAAAGGCAAAGGCCATTCTGAAGAAGATTGTTCACTATCGGAAAAATAACGTGCAATATTTATAAATGCATACTATACGTTATTATTGTTAAAACCACATTGTTCTTGAATTTTAGGGGCAACGCTTCCTATTGATAAGGAGTGAACTTTTGATAATCTAGAGGTCTTTTGTATATGGTATATGTAGCATGTGTTAAAAAGTTATCAACTAAGAAGTGATTTACGAATTTCGGGAAAGTCCAGAAAGAAATTTCAGCAGGAGATGAGGTCTATCATAGGTCAGTCGGGTTTTTCAGAATTTTGGAATGTCGGTACTTTTATTTTTTGTGTTTATTGCGTTTAATTATTTGTTGCACTCAGATTATAGCGCAAACTTATTAACCTTAGATTATAATTCGATTTTTAGATGATAACGTTCTTATCAGTAATTTGTTTATTTGAGTTGGTTGGGTTGGCAAAATTCAAACTAAAACGCTAGTAAAATTACCCTAAGCTTTTGAAACTGCATACAATAAAAGACTGCTCGTTTTTTAATTCGATTTATTTTAAATTAAATAAGTGGAGAACACAAGGATTATAAGTTATTGAACCCTCAACGACATTTTATACTTTCATCATGCGCGTCATTTATAATCTGGCAATTTATTTCCCTTTGTTCAGCATCCTCAATCGATAAGTTCTGCATAAATTTACGTAACTAAAGAAAACCCCATCAATACAATTGACCCTAGTAAAACCAACTAAAAAGGCCCTTATCTTACATGTAATATCCAGCTAAGTGGAAACTTTGTTTACTCTCAATCGAAAGGTTCTATAAATAATCGGCTAAATCATGTTCGTTTAATTGCACATAGCAGAGCTGCATTACCCAGAAATTCCCACCTTCTTTACAAATAAAAGTCCCCGCATTGAAGAAAACCTGTTGAACGAAGCTCTCTTTGGGAGTAAATAAACTTTTGTTGTGTTTTTGCTGGTTGTTTCGAATCGAATCGAAACTGGTTTTTGGCCAAAATTTGAAATGGTAATCGTATGCTTAACTTGGAGCTTTGAGTGCGGGCCAAGTGCGTGTGGCTTTGTTTTCTTTTTTTTCTGTTTTTGTTTTTTGGCCAAACGCAAAATACGCCCCAAGGCCGAAGAGCAGTTGCAGTGGCTGCACTGTGCAACATTTTCCACAATTTCCCAGGAAAGCGAGGAGAAAAACCACGGAAATCGTGAACAACAAGTGACACACACAAACACTGCGGGAAAATTGTGCAACGGTAACAATAGCTGTAACAGTTTTTTTTTTGCTTATTTCCACAGAAAGAAAAGCACTTGGATTATATTATTTGGAATTTCATTAAATTCCAAGTAAATTCTACATTAGATTAAGGAAGGGAAGTGAATGATAATAAAAATGCCGAGTTCATATTCCAAGAATTTTGATACTTCTCTGGTTTATTAAACATTTTTTTTTTTGGTAATTTTAATATAAATTTAAATGTTTTGAACGCAACAATTTCATATTTTTCTTCCGAGGTTCAGGATGACATTCAAAATCATCAACTTGTCTGATGAGCAATCAATTAGGAATATTTTTTTCTGTGCAATTATAGGCGAATTGAACTGATTGGCGAGTGGGAAAGAGACAGCAGAGCTAAGCGCGCGCCAAGCGAAGCTTAGCACAAAGCAAATCGAATGGGAGATAACGAGTGAGAGCGAGATGGCGCGGTTCAAAGTGTAATAACTGAACAAGAAGGCGTAAATACTTACCGTTTTAATACGTGTTTTATGTGTTTAAAATGTGAGGTTAGCTGCTCCGATCTCTTTGGCAAATATTAATATTAATACTCGGTTTTTGTTTAGCTGGCACGAACAATCACGCACTGGCACTGGATGTTTAGCTTTTCTGTTCGCGCTTGTTCGCACTTTTGAGCCGCGATTTTTGTACTCCTCTTTTTTTGGTTTTTTGGTTAAATTAAATGCTCGCTACACTTTCACACATTTGCATTTAATTGCTCCAAGTGTGTGTCTTGTGTTTGTTTTCTGTGCTGCGTTGCGTTGCGTTGCTCTTAACTTGGCTTATTCGCAACGGTTGCCAAATCGCCTGGCCACAAAACGAGACAAACAAAAGCGGCCCACAACTCACGAACGCGCGACTCTGGTTTGGGAAAATCAAAAGTCCAACTGCTGCGAGCGCGACAAGCGTGCGTTCACGTCGGCGGTTCGGAAAAAACTGAACTCGACTTCAAATGAGAACCGAGAACTGAGAGCTGAAAACGGTTGGCAAGTGCGCTTACCACAGACAAAAATAAGGGGAATCGGACGAGTCGCCAGCCGAGTTACCCTCTACTGAATACTGGAGATATTAGAAAACCCAACAAGTAATTATTGATTAATCAATAAATAAATATTCACTTAAAAATTGTTTTTTTTAAATTCTTTAATGATAAATTTAAAAAAAAAATGTATTTTTTTCCCTTGGTATAACAAAAATTATAATTTATAATTCTTATAATTAATGGTATGTGTATTAAAAAAAAATTAATATTAAACAACCTAAGTCAAAATTATTTTACACATTTCGTTATTTGCCAAATATTTGAGCACTAACACCGCATGAGTTCATATTTTAGCAATAGATTACAATTTTAAGACGCATTCCCCGATAAGACGAAGTGAGTTCCAAAAAAAAACCGGAAAGAAACAAAGCTAATCCAGATTCGGGGCTGTAGGTTCAGAGAGAATTTTTAAGCTCCGATAAGAACTGTTATTCACCACAAAAAATTAAAGACATAACGAATACGAATATACATTTGCTAACATAGGCTATGATGATGATGATTTTAAATTCATGAATAAAATCGTTTCAAATATTAATTAAAATAAATAAAAACAAATAAATAAAAATGTATTATTAGTTTGCACCAAAGATCTTCATAAGTCGAGTGTATCTATTTACCCTAAATATACCGTTCATAAATAGAGAGTCAAAATGATGCGAGGGAGAGCAGATGAGAGCCACACGAATTATCTTCGTGTCTGTGGTCGTTGCACTGTAAGCAAATCGCATGCGATAAAAGTCATGCGAGAGAAAAGAAGGCTGAAATACAGGTACTTTGTATAAGAGTATAAGAGAAAGTTTGTAAGAGAGAGAGTTTTCATTTGTTTTCATTTTTGGGGGAAAAGCCGGCAGTTGTTGTTGGCCAGTTAGTTCTCGGTTCTTGTTAGCCAAGTCTAACTGGTTAACTTTGAAGTTTAAACATCTCAAGCAGCATTCATAATAACAGTGATTATGGATTTATTAGTTGATTAGTCGTAGCTCTTTTCCCCTCTTTCCCTCTCTGTCTGGAAAATGTAAAATGTAATTGCCAGCACGTAGGAGACTTGCTGTTGTTGTTAGCAATTAAAACCGCACTTCCATATCCCTTTTCTCGTTCTGTTGCATGCGACTTAAATGAAGTGGAAGTGAGTTCCGCTAATGCGAGACAAGGATGGGAAATAGCTCCCGGGGGAGCAGCGTGTGAAGTGCGAAAGGGATGGGGAAATGGAAACGGAAATCATATCCCTTTGCAACTGTTATTTCTGTAATTATGCAAGGAGGTGGGAAATTAAGGATATGAATAATTTTCAAAATTATGTTACACATGTCTATTTAATTGTTTTCAGGGAATTTTTTAACTTGCAATTATATTTATATTTAAAAAATATACTAGTTATAATCAGAAAAAAAGTGAATTTTGAGTGAAAATCAATTTAAATAATATGTCTTAAACAATTAAAAAATGTATATATATAGTGTAAATATTTTTATTATTTTATAAACGCCCTAATAAACTATTTTTTCTTTTAGGGTTTCAAAACTAAAACAGGTAATCTAACAAAATTAATTTTAGCCTTAGCGCAAGGAAGACAAAATAAATAGAAATACAAATAGTTATAATTACACGTTTGCCACATTGCCTGCCTGTTTCATTTGAAATTCCCAGGATATGCTGTAAATATCTAAGATATTACCTAAGTATGCGCATGTAATTCTGACCGTTAGGAAATTCCAGCAATTTCCCATTCAATGTACCCACATGGGAAAACACAATCACACAGTTCGCATCGCATCACCCACTCGTAAGCCGAAAGCCACCGAGAGAGAGATTTATACCTCATTTGCCTTGTTTTATGGTAGCTGCAAAATTTCACTTTGAATTGTGCCGAAAATTTAATTTGATTTCATTTTCATCAGGGAGACATAAATAGTGCAACAAATGAATTTTGTACGTGCCACACAGAAATGCCGGAGGAACCGTAGGAAAAGGAGGCCCACATGTGTGTGTTCCAGGCTCAGATTTGTGACCATTTGTGTGCGTGGTTGGCCACGACACGCAGAGCCATAAATTTCGAGATTCTCAATAAACTAATGGCAATTGGTATACGTATCTGAGAGATACATTCGGCCCGCTGCCCGCTCATTCTCACACACGTACAAAATTATTTTCCCCGACTGCGTTATTAGTTTTTCCATTCACTTCGGCGCGTTCTCCTTTCAATCCTTGTGACACTTTTATCACACACGTTCGACTCATCAAAAAGTTAACGACGATAATGACAAACATTTCAAAAGCAAACACTCCGAGGCATGCAACCCCAGAACCCAGAACCCGAACCAGAAAACCAGATCCATTTTTCCCCACTGGGGAGATAAATATCTAGCATATAATGCCCGGCGTTGTTGTTGGGCAAACACCTTAATTAACTTTTTTCATGAACATCTTGGCTTGGAACCCGATTCTTCCTTTCCCCCTCCCCTTTCCGAATCGAGCAACTTGGCTTATTTATTAGGGTTATTTGCTCTACGAGTGGTGGTCTGTGTGTGCTAGCCGTCCTTTCACACACACATTCCCTATCACATGGGTAACTACCTGCTCATTTTCACCTGAGTACGTGTTAATTTTGTATATTTATCTTTCTGTTTCGGTTCCCTGAGCTCCGCTGCCAAATAGAAAGATTGTATAAATTTCATCGTAAGGGGCAGAAGGGCAGTACGAATTCCAATTAACAGTTGGCAGCTTCAGCATCTTTGGCCCAAAACCAAATAATAAAACAAAGACATAACCCAACGGAAAACGACGAAAACAGAAAAACAAAAACAACAGCATCAGCGATGGAATTGTATCTGACACGTTCAACTTTGACGTTGACTTTGGCTTTTCCTTACTCCCAAGTTTTTCCCCGCTCCCTTGACAACGTGGGAAATGCAAATGGCAAGCCGGAGAGAAGTTACCAAGTTTTTGGACAAACACTCATGCACATGATGGTGCCGAGAGGAACAAACAAAGGCTTGGAAATAAACCCATAGGGGAAAAACACTGACAGAAATGTAAATATCAAATTGCCAATATATGTTAGGTTAATGATTAGTTTGTGGTAAAATGTATTTTATTCCGAAGACCAGCATAGGGTATATTAAAGACCGGAAAATCTTAAATACATCATCGCATTTGTGATAAAAATATTTTGAAATTAAACATTTTTAACTAAGACTCGCAAAATTTAAGATTAGTATTTATTAGGTTTGCTAAATTATTTTATTTATGATAATATTCTAAATACTTATTAAATACCATAATACCCCTGGTTTCCTTTCGGGAATAAAATCATTACAATATTAGATGTATTGTATTTAGTTCATTTTAATTATGTTAAAGTAATGTTTTTTTTTAGTATGTTAGGATATATAAATTTTTTTAAATACCCTAAAAGGTTACTAATTTTTCGCAGTGAATATTTAGTTTACACTTGTATCCGCATTGTCTTCTTTACATTGAACTCCCTTTGTATTTTTCTTAGCCCTCGCACACCCACTTTAAGTCCCTTTCCCTTTCTTTCTCCCATTTCGGCGTTATTGTTATTTCATATTTTGCTTCTTTGTTTATCCCATCGCTGTCAGCTTCCTTCGATATTTGATATGATTTTGTGTGAGTTGCGTTGGGTTCGTTTGGCTACCGCTGGCCCCCGTCTTGGGTTTTTTGTTTTGTTTCCCTAAAAAGGCGTTGAAATATGCATATGAGCCGCCTTTCCTCGTCTGAAGTGGCAGCGAGGCATTTGCCGCAGCGGCACATGCGCAACATATGTGAATGTTGCAGTTGCACTTTGCAATTTCAGCCTGGCCGGAAGTTTGCGCATCTCGCTGAGCCGCTTGAACAGATTCCAGATGCCAGATTCAGATTCCGCGTACTCCTCCGGTTACTTTGGCAAATGTAAAAATAATTTCTGGCCTCAGCCAGATGCAAATTATGGTTTGAAATGAAGCGTGGGGCAAAAAAGAAAGAGGCAGGAACTGCGAGATCTGCAAAACTAGTTTGGTGTCATCCGAAGTCTTTGCGACTAGTTATTATGTACACCCAAAAAAAAAATTGATATGAAACCATTATCGATTTTACATTATGTGGTATCAACGTAATTTAAGTTGTCATTGCTTCTTCCTCTATTTTTCGAAGTCAGAGTATCTCCGATAGAGAAAACGGTAATGCACAGTAAAAACGGTATGCCAGAAATTTACCATGCGCATATCAATTTGACTGCAACCTGTTTTTTGTGTGTAGGTGCCAGAGCCTATCGCATTTCTAGTTGCTGTATCAAAATCCCAAAGTACCAAACTGGTTTGGGTCTCTAGTTTAGGGAAATCCACGCATAAACATCCTGTCGCGTGGCATTAATACGTGAAGTGATACAATAAATTCAACAATGCCTAATTGATGCTTCCGCTGGCGGTGGCAAAGATCAAGGCGCATTTTATAAACATTTATAGACAGCCAGTCGAAAGGAGTTGTAATTTATACGTGAATTT